AATTTTGTAGAGTTACGTAAGATCGGATCTAATTAAGTTTACTGCCAGCCTCACTTCGTATATCGACGCCGTCACTACGCACGAGCCTTGTTGTGGTCATATACTGGGGCCGCACCGCAGGTACTACAATTTTGTTTACTACAAATATTATGGCTCAAAAAAATGCTAGCCTTGCTTCGTAAACATATTCGAAGACGTTTCTATCGCATTCATTGCTTCGCCCTTTCGGTGAAACTGTGACGTTTTCAATTTTCAGCCTGTGCAACCTGCGTCCAACCGAAAGTAATTGGTTGATATATGGGGTTTACCGTCCGAAAACCATCATGTCATTATGAGAGACGCCGTAGTGGGGGGGGGGGGGGGGCTCCGGAAATTTGGCCACCAGGGGTTCTTTAACGTGCACCTAAATCTGAGCACACGGGCCTAAGCATTTCGCCTCCTAAAAAAATTCGACCGCCGCAGCCGGGATTTGATCCCGCGACCTGCGGGTCAGCAGCCGAGTACCTTAGCCACTAAACCACCACGGCAGGGCATCCAACCGAAGGTAATCCATGAATTTAGTTTCTTCAATTAAAATGAGAGAGAACATAAAATATTCGCATTAACAAGCCATTCACAAAATTAGTTTGATGCTATCATTGAAATGCATTGTTACTTCCTATTACTTCTGCTTCGTTCCTCCAGACATTACCACTGGTACTACATGCTCAGACCTGTAGTCGCGGTGTAATTTCACATTTAATTCATTTGAATGCACTTTAACGTTCAATTCCTGGTTAAAATGTGACACTATTTGTCTTTGATTCACTACATTTCAATATTCAATGCACTAATCATCAACTCTAATCACTTGACATATCCTTAGAAGTTTCAGTGGTTGCAGCGCACGAGCGGGAATGTAGCATGTGCTTCATGATTTCATGTCCGCTTCTCTAAACGTGTTGAGCAATGATCGCGGAGTAATTCACAATTTCGATGGTTTACTAGAATGTTGTGTTAATCCTACATCCTGCCTTATTCTCTGTATTCCGTGCATCCGGGTTCCATTCATTATTTGAGCTAATTACACTACTGGAGAGAAGGCAAGAAAAATTGTGGCACAGAGTGATGAACGGTTAGGTTTATTTGTGATCTTATAAATTTGAAGCGCCTAATCTAAAGGTAACAGGAGGCCACTTTCGCGCCCAGCCAACAGCAACTAATATATTTTTGCAAATTATAAATTATGAAATATGACGCGCAAGCAGGTGCCACGGTGTGGTTGTTTTTTTTTTATTGTTTCTTGAACATTCAACACCCACTGTACGCGTGGTGCCACATATCCAATGCTACAGATGACTCTGTCAAGCGATCAGAAATAAAACAAATATGCAATCTTAAATGAATTATGAACTATCGAGTCAATGCCGCGTCAGAGTTTATTAATAGTCTCACAAATCAAGCGCCGCAAAAATTTCTACACCAAGTCAAGAACGAGCGGAGTTGAAGGGACCCTTCGCAAATTTTAAGTGCGTTATAATCTCTCATCCCCACGAGCGCGCTACACAAGGAAAGATCGCAAGAGGGAAAGGATATGCGTCAGCACACGTCATAACCTCGAGCATGCGCAATGAAACGCGTTCGTTGTGGTTCTTGTGCACGTCCCTGTGGGCATAGAGTTTCCCAAATTAACTAGAGGGCACTCTGGCACTGCGCTCGTTCAGCGACCATGATAATAATGGGTAGTACACACATTTGCCGAGTCTTCGTACTTGCGGGCGGCGAATCGTACTTGCGGCTTCGTTTATTGCTGGTTACGGTTTTGTTTTGAAAGAAAGAACAAACCCTTTTGAACTTAGTTACTTGATTCGAAATGGTAAGTCTAAAAGAATAAGGTTGTGAAGCGCAAACTGTGAACATTTGCTAATTTATGTTTTCGTGAAAAAACAGCTCCAAGCCACACGAACACACACGGAGCCAGAAGCAGGCCAGAAGTACGAAAATTAGACAAATGTTTGTACTACCCATCACTCCCATGCTCGCTGAAGCGCCATGTGTTGCAGCTCCCATAGACACTAGCGCCAGAGTTCCCTCTAGTGTATATTAAGAAACTCTATGCCTGTGGGTGCGATAACACTACACATTGAGGCTACTGCGTAATGTTAGCAGAGTGGAGCGCGGTGCCGGCACGAGGCGGCATCGCCGTAGCAGGAACCACATCTCATTCAAATGCCGCTTTTGGTTTACGTCAGCTACGGCCAATAGCAGCAATCTGCTGATATGACGACATACAGCTGGCGTCCCGCCCACCGTAGAGGAGCAAGAGTGCGGGCTGAAGAGAGCGCATGCACAACTGCGACTTTTGGCTGAGCTGTGCGCAGCAGCACCTGCTTTCCGCTGTAGACTTATTTCTCCAAACGCGAGCGGTGGTTCACGACCATTTAACCCATCAGAACCCAGTGTACCTAACAAAGTACACTTTGTATTTGGGAATGGAAAATATATACGCAAGAGAATGTTCTGGTCTCCTTCATTAAAAGTTCGGATGCCAGAGCTTGCAGCAAGATAATCCGAATTTCTCTGATATACTGACTCGGTTCACTCTTTTCTCTTGTATAAGTCGTTTAACTTTAGGCAGACAAGCCTTGTTGTACCTAGCAGAATGAAGGAATTTACATGGGCCAAGTCAATTTTGGTGTTTCACAAGAGCCTCGCGTACTCTCTATTCTTGCATCCGACAAGTTTTCTGGTTGCTACGTCGACAGCCCAGTGAATAGAATGTATTCTAGTAGAATAGAAAGTATTCTGGAGTGCGCATAGTAACGTCTGAAAAAAAAACCATGAAGCTCTATGAAAATTCGCAAGTGTTCCCACCTACAGTATTTAAATAAATGTGTGAAATATCAATAAAAGTCAACCAGTAGTTCTTGTGTGGGCCTTCATGGGTTAAGGGGCACCAGACCTCATTTGAGCCGTTCCCGTCTACATCACCCAGTCTTCAAGAAAGTAGCCCATAGCATGATCACTTCTCGGCTTAAAACCTTGCTCCCTCCGAAGAGGATGCGCCCAGCACCAAAGGGGACCCGAAGAGAAGTCGTGCGGCGTAGTCTCTTGGTAGTTCGGTCCGCACTCTGGCGGTGAAGCACGTATCCAAGAACAGTGTTGCCAGATTTACGCAGGTATTCCACGTTGAAAGACCCTTCTGGCCGCCTTGCGCGATGGGCACTCCGCATCCAGGAGTACGACATTCGCGTCGTATACCGCTGCGGACGCAAACACTCTGACGCTGATGCTCTGTCCCGCTCACCTTTACCACCAGATCAGACGTGCGGAAACACTTGCCTCCAGACCTTGTCATCACTAAATCTCGACTCGATTGCCACCGAACAACGTCGTGACCCGTGGATCGCCTCTCTTATCGAATATTTATCTGGCACGCCCAATCTTCCAGTATCTCGATCCCTCCGACGTCAAGCTTTCCATTTCGCCATCCGCGATCAACTTCTTCATCGACGCAACTACGCTCCCGATGGCCGCCGGTGGTTGCTGGTCATTCCACGCACTTTACGATCGCAAGTATGTGCCTCCCTTTACGACGATCCGCAATGTGGCCACGCCGGAGTGTTCAAAACATATGAACGCCTTCGCCATCGCTACTACTGGCGCGGCATGTACAATTTTGTACGTAAATTCGTGCAGTGCTGTCCTGACTGCCAGCAACGTAAATCAACACTGCCACGTGCGACTGGCGCATTGCAGCCACTTCCATGCCCTGCCAAGCCATTTGATCGCGTCGGCGTTGACCTCTACGGTCCCCTTCCATTGACACCAGATGGTAATCGGTGGATTATAGTGGCGGTTGACCACCTGACACGCTACGCCGAAACAGCCGCTTTGCCGAGCGCTACAGCTCAGGATGTCGCCTCTTTCATTTTGCAACGCTTTATCCTTCGACATGGTGCACCTCGAGAGCTCCTTAGTGACAGAGGCCGCGCTTTCCTTTCCGAGGTCGTCGAAACTCTGCTTTCGGAATGCCACGTCATTCATCGGAAAACAACAGCATACCAGCCGCAGACTAACGGACTAACGGAACGGTTCAACCGCACGCTAGGTGATATGCTCTCAATGTACGTGGCATCTGATCATAGCAACTGGGACCGTGTTCTCCCATACGTCACGTTCGCGTATAACACCACAATACAAACCACCACGGGATTCTCACCTTTCTTTCTTCTTTACGGACGTGAGCCTTCCCATACAATTGATACCCTACTTCCTTACCGTCCTGATGCTTCCGAGTGTCCACCTATCTCCGATGCTGCTAGACAAGCCGAAGAGTGCCGCCAGCTCGCCCGTGCGTTCACCTCGGAAGAGCAACAACGCCAGAAAGAAACCCGTAGCACCTCTCTTCCGGATCCCAGCTATGCCCCAGGGTCTCTTGTGTGGCTTGCCATCCCACACCAAACACCGGGACTCTCCTCGAAACTTGTCCCCCGGTACGAGGGGCCTTACACCGTTTTGGAGAAACATCTCCGGTTAATTTTCTAATTGAACCAGTTTCCCGATCGGACGACATGCGCCGGCGTTCACGTGACATCGTCCATGTTTCCCGACTGAAACCGTACCATGAGCCTCTGCCTGAAACTTCTTAAGTCGCCAGGATGGCTCCTTTTTCAGCGGGGGCGATTGTGAAGAAGAAGATGTGCCTGCAGCGAGCAGCATCGCCAACGCCCGGCTCTCTCGGCTCGTGCTTCGGTTCGTTGCTGTGCCGATCGCTGGACGGTTGTTCACGCTGTCTCGTCGCTGTCTTTAACGACTCATAAACCTCCTCACAGTATTCTGGAGTGCGTATAGTAACTTCTGAAAAAAAAATTGAAACTCTATGAAAATTCGCAAGTGTTCTCACCTGCAGTATTTAAATAAATGTGCGACATTTCAATAAAAGTCGACCAGTAGTTCTTGTGTGGGCCTTCATGGGTTGAGGGCACCAGACCTCATTTGAGCCGTTCACGTCTACTCACCCAGTCTTCAAGAAAGTAGCCCATAGCATGATCACTTCTCGGCTTAAAACCTTCTCCTCCGAAGAGGATGCGCCCAGCACCAAAGGGGACCCGAAGAGAAGTCGTGCAGCGTAGTCTCTTGGTAGTTCGTCCGCACTCTGGCGGTGAAGCACGTATCCAAGAACACAGTTGCCAGATTTACGCAGGTATTCCGCGTAGAAGCGCACGGGACAGACGGCCAGTAGGTCAGACAACAGCTGCTCGGCCCAACTGGCGGTCACGGCGTCCTGCGCATGCGCCGAGCCGAGACCATTTAGTGAAATATACACCAAGTAGATTTCATCGTCCAGAGTGAAAATTGACAACCGCCTGATTGTTTAGCACGTAGCATATTGTGCCTTCTAATAACCCGTCCGCTACCTTGCGTGATTCTTAATAAATGGTTAAAAATATTTTTATATTTCCGTGCACGATGGCAATAACATTGCGTTAAGCCATCACCTATAGCGACTGAGTGCGTCAGACCAACGCGGTTAGCGAATCTGCACGTATACCATTCACGGGTCATTACGTGCCCCCCTTTAACAGCCGTATTTATTACGTAATGCATGCACACCCACACTTAATAAAAGCTTCGAGGCTCGCTAGATATATTGCACGACTTATCTGTAACTAACTCCAGCAGGAACCTATTTTTACTCCATCTGAGTGCTCACCACCTAGTGGCCGCGCCTAGAAACGGCGCTAACAAGGTGAATATTGAAAAGGGACATGTTACCAAGTTGTGCGCTTTAAGAAGCGGCCGCATGAAGTTCCTTTATTTTCGCCATGCTCACCGCGCAAAACCGAAAAAGAAGAAAGCGATGTCCTGAGACCATTGCAGTGGGTCGGAATGCGCGTCGTCATGGTGGAGATATGACAACATTTCGTTCTGTCACTTACTGACGAATGCAGACGATGCCCGAAAGAAACTTGTATTGGAAAGGTGCCGCTAAAAATTATGACACATTTCATTAAATGACTGTCTTTGCTTACTTTTACCTGCAAAACGCTGTTGCACAACATTTTTAGTATAGCAACAACATTGAATTAAGTATTTCAGGGATCCGAGCCTCCACGAAGAACACTCTTCGTTGGTAGTTTTTTCTTATGTATATATAACCGAGGCCAATACACTGTTATGAAACGTTTTTGTGACGGTCCGCAATAACAACCTCGGGCTTTTTCGGAAGGTGTGTACCTTGGCTATTTCATATACTAGATAAGGACATGTCGAGATTAGAGGATGGCGCACCTTAAAGTACTGGTCCATGATGTCAGTGGCTTCTGCCGACGAGAAGCTGAGCAGCGCCAGTATGGTACGCACAGCTTCGCCCGTGTTCGTTTCGTTGTCCAACCGAAAGAATCGCTGGAAGAAATCCATCAGGTCCGACCCTTCGTGCTCCGAGAATCCCAGAAGAACCGTCACGTTGTCAGGTATCTGCGTGACCGCGAATTCCCCGTTGAGCTCTACAGAGCAAGGACAAATTCTATGCAGAAATTAATAAACGTGACCAAGGAAAGCGGACTCGCAGATGGGTACAAACAAATACGAAATTAAATCGAAGCCAAAGGCAGCTATCATTGCATTATTGTTATTTTGAACGACTGTTGAGATTTTTGGGCTACCACGCTGCATTAGACTACGCATGCAGTAATCGCTTCACGCATTAACGCCTAATGTTGTCTGCATTTGCATCAAATTGAGCGTATACGAAAGCACTAGGTTGGCGCCATTGTGCCCTTACACACACACGTAATATATATATATATATATATATATATATATATATATATATATATATATATATATATATATATATATACATATATATATATATATATTTATATATATATATATATATATATATTATAATAGAAATGCAAGATCAAAACGGTATCAGCGTCGGTACAGAAGCAGCAAGAGCTAGCCGCATGTAGTACTAGTACGGGCAGCGTCGCAGCAGCAACCAGGCTGTCTTAGCTCGTGTCTCGCACCAACGTGTCAATGTCGCTGCAGTAGTGGGCATTCCTCTTCACTACACTTCGTCCTTCGTCGGAAAACGAGCCATCCTGGCGACTCACGGTGAAGAGAGTACGAGCGGATTGTGATAAGGTTTCAGCCGCTGTACCTTAACAGTTTCACGTCCCCGAAAGCGCTAGTCTGTGGATGGCGTAACGGGTTCAACGATGTAGTTAACTGGTGAAGTCTGCGAGACAATGCGGTAGGGTCCTGGTATTTTGAAAAAAACTTCGACGAAAGGCCTGTAAACACAGCGGGAAGCCAAGGTCACACAAGAGTGTCCGCAACAAAGTTAGGGTACGGGTGGTTATCGTCACGCCAAGATTTTTGTCTCCATTTGTCGATGGTTGTGAACGACTGCGCGAGCTTACGGCATTCCTCGGCGCGGCGGGCAGCTTCAGAGATGGGCGTAAACTCGGAGGAATCGGGGTGGTAGGGCAGAATGGTATCTAGTGTGGTGGAGGGTCTCGGCCATATAACAAGTAAAAATGGTGAAAAGGCCGTAGTCGCCTGTGGAGCAGTATTGTAGGCGTATGTCACAAAAGGCAGAATGAGGTCCCAGTCGGAGTGGTCGGAGGCAACATACTTTGTTATCATATCCCCTAGGTTACGGTTGAATCTTTCCGTCAATCCATTCGTCTGCGGATGGTAGGCGGTGGTAGTCCGGTGAATTATACGGCATTCGGCAAGAAGTGCGTTGACGACTTCTGAGAGGAATACACGTCCTCTGTCACTGAGAAGTTCACGCGGTGCGCCGTGACGGAGAATGAAGTGCCGCAAGAGAAAAGGAGATACGTCGCGTGCTGTGGCAGCAGGTAAAGCGACTGTTTCTGCGTATCGCGTCAAATAGTCGACAGCGACAACAATCCAACGGTTTCCGGAAGCCGTGAATGGAAGAGGCCCGTACAGATCAATCCCAATGCGGTCAAAAGGCCTGGCTGGGTAAGGGATTGGCTGGATCGGACCAGAGGTATGATGAGGCAGAGCTTTCCGTCGTTAGCACTGCGGGCATGACTGAATGTACTTGCGCAAAAAGGTGTACATGCCTCGCAAATAAAACCAGGAGGAAAGCCGAGCGTATGTTTTGAAGATGCCCGCATGTGCGCACTGAGGGTCAGCGTGGAAAGCTAACACATTGCAGCACAAAGATGGCGAGCTATGACCAGTAACCACTTTCGGCCGTCAGGCTTGTAAATGCCGCGATAAAGGAGGCCATCGTGGACCTCAAAGTGAGCCGCTTGACGGCGCAAAGTTCGAGAAGATGGAGAAGTCGACGGATCTGAAAGGAATCGCAAAAGAGAGCTGATTCAGTCATTCTTGCGTTGCTCAGACGCCATGTCACAGTTTTCTGGGAACGCAACCATTTCGTCCACGGCAGATAAACATGCAGAGCTTTGGGAGGACATAGGTGAGCGTGATAGAGCGTCGGCATCAGTGTGACGTCAGCCAGACCTGTAGACAACAAGCATGTCGAACTTTTGCAACCACAAGGCTCAGCGAGCTAAACGGCTGGAGGGGTCCTTGAACGTGGATAACCAACAAAGCGCATGGTGATTGGTGACTACGTCAAAAGGGCGACCATATAGGTACGGTCTAAATTTACCTAGAGCCCATATAATTGCCATACACTCCTTCTCTGTCACAAAATAGTTCTTCTCCGCTTTGGTGAGGGTACGGCTTGCGTACGCGACTACGTACTCCTGGAATCCCGATTTGCGCTGCGCGAGCACGGCGCCGAGTCCAACACCGCTGGCTTCGGTGTGTACCTCCGTCGGAGCAGTTGGGTCGAAATGACGCAAGATTGGCGGCAAGGTTAACAGGTGGCGCAACTTTTTGAAAGCATTGTCACAGGCGGGTGACCAAGCGCAACTTTTCGAGCCACTACGTAGAAGTTCAGTCAAAGGGGCGGTGATCATAGCAAAATTCCTAATAAAGCGGCGGAAATACGAGCAGAGGCCAAGAAAGCTGCGCAGATCCTTCAGAGACGAAGGTTTAGGGAACTCTACAACTGCCCGAAGCTTGGAGGTGTCAGGAAGAATACCGTCTTTAGATAAAACATGGCTGAGGATGGTGAGCTGACTTGCGCCGAAGCGGCATTTCTTCAGGTTGAGCTGAAGGCCGGGGTCAGTTAGGCACTGCAGCACTTCATCTAGCCTACGGAGATGCGTTGAAAATGCGGTGAAAATATAATCACGTCATCTAAATGGCACAGGCACGTTCTCCACTTCAGGCCACGCAAAAGATTGTCCATCATCCACTCGAATGTTGCGGGTGCGTTGCAAAGACCAAAAGGCATGACACAGAATTCGTAAAGGGCATAAGGTGTGACAAAGGCCGTCTTAGGCTGATCTTCAGGTGCCAGAGGGACTTGCCAGTAGCCACTCCGTAAGTCAATAGAAGAGAAGAACTCCGCACCTTGGAGGCAGTCAAGGGCATCGTTGATTCTCGGTAACGGGTAAACGTCCTTTTGAGTTATTTTGTTAAGACGGCGGTAGTCAACTTAGAAGCGAATTGACCCGTCCTTCTTAACGAGAACGACTGGAGATTCCCAGGGGCTGTTCGAAGGCTGGATGACACCACGCTTGAGCATGTCAACTGCTTGGTAATCGATAACCTGGCGCTCGGCTACGGACACGCAATAAGGTCTTTGACGCAATGGCGCATTGGTACTCGTGTTGATGCGGTGACACACGGCTGACGTGCGGCCGAGGGGAGTATGCTAGCAGTCGAAGAAATAACGAAATTTGTTCAGCAGTCGTAGAAGCTGAGCACGTTGCGAAACGGTTAACGTGTCGGCGATGGAGCTGCTCAGTATGTCCGACCTAGTAGTCTGCGGCAAAGAGGCACAGGTCACTCCGGCGACTTCGTGTTCGGCGGACGGACCAGCCGGCATGTCGATAATTGCAGAAGGGTCGAAACTGTAAACACGCCCGACGCACTCACCCCGAAGTAGTGTTACAGGACATGACAACAGGTTCGAGATGAGCAGTCTGCTAACGCCGTCATGAAGTTCTAGAAGGGCATAAGGTAGCGGCGAACACTTGCGACGAACGGAAAGAGCAGATGGCGTGAAAAGGGCACTAGACTCGGCGAGAGAGTTGCAGGACAGCTTGGTAAGGGCAAAAGAGTGCGGCGGTATGACGACGTCTTCAGCAACAAATAGTTTGTCCCCGGTTTCATAAGCATCATATAATGGAGCGTCGTCAAACACTTCAAATGCCACCTCACCGCGAGAGCAGTCGATGACGGCCTTATTAGCGGAGAGAAAATCTCAGCCCAAAATGAGGTCATGGGAGCAGGAATCCAACACTAGATATTCAACGACCTAAATGAGGCCATCAATCGCGATGCGAGCAGTACAGGCAGCGGCCTGTGTGACGTGATCAGCGCTGGATGTACGAAGTGATATACTTGCTAGTGGCGTCATAACTTTTTTGAGCAAGCGGCAGAGTCTAGCACTGATCACTGAAACTGCGGCATCAGTGTGAACAAGAGCGAGTGCAGCGACGCCTTCCACATGTAAGTCGAGAACATTTGTTGGTGAAGTGAGAGGCCTTGGTCTTTTCGCTGGCGACGCAGCTCCTGCCTCTGGAACTGCGGCAAATAGCTTTCCCACTCCGGCGATGAAGGACGACGACGCATCGGCGATGGCGAGCGGCGTCGATGTGATGGCAAGCGGCGGTTAACAGGAGGGCGGTGGTCGGCATACGATGACGTCTGGTCGGGGGGCTGAGAGCCTGTGAACGAAGGGCGCGGTCGCACATAAAGGGCAGGTTCGAAGGTCTGGTCGTAGCTCTGGCGGTAGACAGGGGCGCGCCGACGGCAGTATCGCGCTATGTGGCCAGGTAGCCCACAGGTAAAGCATATTGGGCGATTGCCGAGTGTACCCCATTGTCCACTAGTCTACACGGACCTTGGCTGAGCGAACCGAGTAGTGGGTCGGAGCAGAAAGCTGAGGGCAGTGACGTAAAATTCTGAAGAGGTGGTCGAGCTGCTACTTCAGCATAGCTTAGAGGTGCATTTACCTCGGCACAGGCAACAGGGCTCGGCAATGGTGAAGTGTCACGGGCAGATGGCATAGCCGCGCAAACTTGCACCTGGATGACCTGGCGAATGTTTGCTGGCAGAGGTGACGATGGTTGGCCGGCTGTTGATAGCATCGATAGCTGACAAGCGACCTCAGCACGAACAAACTCCTTGATCTGCGATAGCAGCGACTGAAGATCAGATGTGGTGGTCAGGCTTCAGAGGGTGTCATCCGGGACGTCAGAGCGTCGCGTGAGAAGACGCTGTCATCACAGCTCGTCGAAACTCTGACACAACTCGATGACCTCAAAGACAGTGACAGGAGTCTTGGAGAGCAGCATTTGAAAGGCGTCGTCGGAAATGCCTTTCACAATATGTCGCACCTTGTAAGTTTCCGCCATCGACGGGTCGACACGCCGGCAGAGGTCGAGGATGTGTAGCTAGTGAATGTCTCACCAGTTTGTTGGAACTGGCCTCTTAGGCGTTGTTCTGCGCGAAGTTTGCGCACACCAGGGCGTCCAAAAACATCTGATGCAGGTTTTGAAGGTAGTCCAAGTGATGATATCTGCCTGATGGTTTCTGTACCACAGCTTGGCAACATTCGTTAAATAAAACATCACGGTACCAAGCTTTGTGGGATCGTTCCATTTGATAGTAGCGCTGGCTCGTTCATAAGATTCCAGCCAATCCTCAAGGTCTTTCTCGTTGGTGCCGCTGAAGATGTCGGTTTCTCGCAAGAGCTGGGCACAGGGACAGCTCCTGCGTGGCGAAGCCGGTGGGGGTGTGAAGACAGCGTCGTCAGGCATGACGGATGGCAGCTTTCGGCTACGCAGTTCCAGGACTGGGGAAGACCGCAGCACTCTCCACCAAAATATAATGTAAATGCAAGGTCAAAACCGGTAACAGCGTCGGTACAGAAGCAGCAAGAGCTGGCCGGATGTACGGGCAGCGTCGCAGCGGCAGTGGGCATTCCTCTTCACTACAACACCAACACACACACACACACACACACACATACATACATATATATATATACATATATATAAATATGAAAGTAGATGCGCTTTCACATAACAACTGTTTATTGTGCCGACGTTTCGACAGGAACCCTGTCTTTTTCAAGGCATAATACTATTTACATATGTTCCGTGATTTTTTATATCCTGTCGAGACAGGAGGGGAGGGGTCAATTGAGAGAGAGAGAGAGAGAGAGAGAGAGAAAAAGAAAAAAGAAGAAACAGCAAAACCGGAGGACAAACATTAAATAAAATATAGAAAATCTAGGAGAAGAAGCAAGACCGACACGGCGTAATTAGAAAAGGGCAGCATTTCAACAGAGTAGGGCAGAGGTAGATGAGGAATGTCATCATTGTTAACAATACCTCCCCCGCACCCACACTTCCCCAAGTGGGCAGGGAGCCGCCGTTTTTGTATTTCACCTTTGCGTGTAGTCCGCTGGCGGCTCGTTCCTCTTTGAAGTGTATGACAAGTTAATGGGGAGGGCTTAAGCGCTTTAAGTGCATGCTGGTGGCGTCGGGAGAAGCGAAAAAGCCGGTGAATGAGGCACTGCCATCGATATTCATTATATGCATTGGCTCCTTGTCAGTTAAGGAACAGAATGTGGGTTAAAAATTGAAGAAGAAGAAAAAAAGGAAAAAAAAACCATTGGGGGGGGGAGGGGGGAGACTGTAGGACATCCGAGACAGTCACCACACAGTTGCGGCTCACTTGGGAAGACATGCGCGCATTCACGAAAAAGTTAACGAAACCACCTAGTTGTCAGCTCCTTGTCAGTGAAGGAACAGAATGTGCGTTTCAACTTAAAGAAGAGAATGAAAAAGAAAAAGAAAAAAAAGAAAAAGGAAAAAGAAAAAAAAGAGGGGGGGACAATACGACATCCGGGACCACTTATCTGTGCGTTCCGGCTGTGCTTGATGAGGCAAATCCTTTCTATGTTGTCAGATGCATAGGCCAAAAGCTTTGTTAGCGGGTAATATTATTGTCGTAATGAAACCGGACTGATTAGAGAGAAGCGTTTGCGTCTTTTAGTTGTCGTAACGCAGACAGAGTGCCTGGGTGTTCATTTATTCCGTATTTTATCGTGTTAAATTTGTAGATAAAATAAGATTCCCGTTGTTCCCTTTCTCTTCTTTAAGTTGAAACGCACATTCTGTTCCTTCACTGACAAGGAGCTGACAACTAGGTGGTTTCGTTAACTTTTTCGTGAATGCGCGCATGCCTTCCCAAGTGAGCCGCAACTGTGTGGTGACTGTCTCGGATGTCCTACAGTCTCCCCCCTCCCCCCCAATGGTTTTTTTTTTCCTTTTTTTCTTCTTCTTCAATTTTTAACCCACATTCTGTTCCTTAACTGACAAGGAGCCAATGCATATAATGAATATCGATGGCAGTGCCTCATTCACCGGCTTTTTCGCTTCTCCCGACGCCACCAGCATGCACTTAAAGCGCTTAAGCCCTCCCCATTAACTTGTCATACACTTCAAAGAGGAACGAGCCGCCAGCGGACTACACGCAAAGGTGAAATACAAAAACGGCGGCTCCCTGCCCACTTGGGGAAGTGTGGGTGCGGGGGAGGTATTGTTAACAATGATGACATTCCTCATCTACCTCTGCCCTACTCTGTTGAAATGCTGCCCTTTTCTAATTACGCCGTGTCGGTCTTGCTTCTTCTCCTAGATTTTCTATATTTTATTTAATGTTTGTCCTCCGGTTTTGCTGTTTCTTCTTTTTTCTTTTTCTCTCTCTCTCTCTCTCTCTCTCAATTGACCCCTCCCCTCCTGTCTCGACAGGATATAAAAAGGCACGGAACATATGTAAATAGTATTATGCCTTGAAAAAGACAGGGTTCCTGTCGAAACGTCGGCACAATAAACAGTTGTTATGTGAAAGCGCATCTACTTTCATATTTATAACCTTGCGGCAACCGAAGTTATTCTTCTGCATATATATATATATATATATATATATATATATATATATATATATATATATATATATATATATATATATATATATATATATATATATCAATAATCACTTGAGTATACTGGCGAGCTACAAATATAATTAGGACTAATTCATTGCCATTGACGTAAAAATAGTAGTGGTGACCTTGGTATACTGGGAACAATAACAATATGCAAGAGCTTTGTTTCCAGTAACACCGTTTCTCTAGTAGTTATATGTCGGGCTGCGTCATAATTTGCACTAATTTGCATATATGGGTCATTCCATGCCAAGAGTTCCAGACTTGGCGCTCGACCATCGCAGATTCTGCCGATAAAATTTACACCTTTTTGTGGAGAAGTGCGGCAAAACGTTTTGGGTTAAAAAACATTTTTAAAGACCATGGCGCCTGTTCGCTTGTTTTTGCCAAAATTTGCACAATAGAAAAATGTATATAAAATCTCTATTTGTTTGCAAAACTTCGAAGCAGTGCTACAGCTACTAAAGAGGTTTTGTTTAGTTGTGTTACTAAAACATTCAGAAATTTTGTGTTTACCTGGCAGTCAGGCCTTTTCAAAAATCACAAAAATCTTCAAAGTTCGTCATTTTTTTATTTGAGCTGCAACCCTCTCACTAAGCAATCTTAACATTATCGTGGTTCTCATAAAAGCTAATTTTTGTAGAAAAATATTTAGGGGTGGAACAGACTTCAAATCTTCCTGAAAAAAATGTGTAAATGGCAGAAATATGCGATTTGTCCCATATTTGACCGCATTTTTCATACTGATGCGTTCCAAGTAACATTTTCGTGATGCAGCGAGTATTTATACAACTATGTGCTGAATTGAATACCGCCTAGTTTTTACCGTGACGCTCGGGAAGCGTGCCGGGCTAACCTTTAGTGCTTTCCACAGGTGGACTGGCCACATCACAGGCAGCACGGGGAAGAACTGGGGAAGCTCTAGCGGGGCCGCGCGCTGTCTTCGTAGCAGTTCTTCCACTGGAAGACTACGCAGGCAGCTCAGCAAATTGGGCTCGGCCTCCTTGCACAGAAGTTGCACCGACGTGTTCCAGTGCTCGTTCTGGAGACTCTTCCCGCCTCGACTGAACACCGGATATCTGCGTGCAGTTCGTGCACGTCAGTGGATTTCTCGTCAGCAAAGAGCTATGAAATGCAAACCATTACTTGATGTCTAATCTAGACGAAAGATGAGTACAAGATGAATTTTTCCAGGGGCGGGTAGCCTTCCAAAAACTACAGGAATTTCGCCGTACCCAACATTCCCACACGAGCCTTGTCTTCCCTTCGTCAGATCGTATCAGTGCCATTGTTCGGAGGAATACATTAAAACACGTCTGAAGATACGACACTACAGATACAGCTAAAAAGCTGACATGACACACCTTCTTTCTAGACTTTCAGGCTTGTTTCACTGTTTGTGCCCGGTGAAAGACGTGTGGGAGAACAAAGTTTTAGACAATTTTGAACTGATTAGCTGCAGATACGCAGACATCAATGTATGCTCAGTTGTTAAGCCCCTCTTGTTACGCCATCACTTTTCTTACTTATGCTTTGGCTTAAGCTGGTTATTGGATGCAATTTCTGTGGCAACTGGCCCCAGCCTTCGATCTTTCCTCGTGGATTCCATAAAATTCCGTCACGAGACTCAATGGAAGCAGAACTATGAAAAAAATGAAACCAAATAAAGGCAAGACTGTTTAAAAAGCACCTTTCATTAGTACATTACATTAAGATGACATATATTCTCCTGGAGACATCCTGGTGACACGTCGGTGAGGCACGGGTGTTTCAGGACAACCAAGAATATTAAAGTGGCTAGGGTTCTGTTCAATGTTTGACAACAGAGGTGGTGTTCTGGTGAAATATCTACTTATCAATGTCATAAAAAAGACTATGTAAATTTCAGATGAATGCATGTTTATGATCACGGAGATGAGAGTACGTACCTTAAGAACTCAGCTAGGTGTCTACCCTCCCTATGCTTTGTCGTATTTTTTTTTATCGGAAGTCAACTTGGTCGTACGAACACATCGAAAATCCACACCCGGTCAAGATACAACGGAAACGTGGAGGAATGTTGAGGGATTATATCAAGGCATGCACAACTCACCTTGTCATTGGGCTCTCGCTCATAAAGACAGCCTTGAGGATGGGAGCGACATCACTGAGGCCCTGGCCCACCATCAGGTGGTAAGCGAGAGCCGAGGCACCGGAGCCGTGACCGACGACCACCAAGTCGGACTTGTTGCCGCCAAAGGCGTCCACGTTTCTTGCCATCCAGCGCAGTGATTCCGCCTGGTCCAGGAGACCGACGTTGATAGGAACATCGTCACTTTGAGTCAGGCTAAGGAATCCAAGCACGCCCAGCCTCCAATTGGGCACCACGACGACCACGTCACCCAGGGCGGCCAGTGCGCGGCCGTCGTATTGAGGGTTGTTGTTGCTGCCCGTCTGCGGGTCACAGCATGACACACTATATGTTTAGGACACAGAAAGACATCTAGATTCATCATCGTGCACAAGGTTCTCTATTCAGTTTTGCCGTAAAGCCTCAGCCCTGCCACTCCCACCGGCCTAGTTTAAAAGAGAGTTAGTTATGAAAAGGATAACCATCAACAAATCATTAGTAGCATAAAGTAGCATGGCTTCGCTATAGTCACCCAAAGGTACTGTGGGAGGGGTAGTGGTGGTGGTTAATATGTCATGCTGAAATACATGAGAGAGTTCATGTGCGCCTGAGTGGCAGAAGAGTGGCTAGTGGCAGTCCCTAGTCCGGGACGCCTTTGGAGATCACCACTGTCCGGGCGCGTAACCAATGAGCGTTGCGCAGCAGCCGAGTAGGCACTCCTCCCAAGCCTCTCTAGATGGGATGGGGAAGGGGGATGAGAAAGAGAGTGGAGTGGCAGGACACGAAGCGACAACGTGAAATGGGTCGGCTTCCACTTGACAAGTTGGACACGGGCTAGAAATTTGCGGTATAAAGTGCCGGGCGACCGCTGGACTTGTATTAGTCTGAAACACGTGGCCTGACGGCTCCATAGCAGTCGTTCATCCGCTTTCGCCATACCGCGTGCGGGGCCAGGGTAAACTCGGCACGAAGTGCGATTATAATCCACAATATCACGGTAGCGTGAGACTTAAGTTCCCAGGATCTGACTCAGGACATGAAAGGACAGCGGTGTGATGTGTGGTGCGCGTTCAAAGTGCGCGCCTTCGAAAAGTGCGCGAAATTAAAGGATGACCGAGTGCACGTGCTGGTCGCCTGAACAACGACGACGCCGAGGACCGGTACACGTGAGAGCGTGGAGCGCAAGCATCCAAGACCATAAAGAAAACAAGGGCCAATGGCTGATCACCACGGAGTTTTGAAAGGCCAATCAGAACGAGACAAGTGGGCCAGAGCTGAAGCAGGAGCCTGGGGAGACCAGAGCAAGGGGAATTCGAGGCAGGCAGTGCAAGCGGAAGGTCGTCACCGGACCGGGCGCTGAAGATGGCCGTTGGGTTCCGGACCCGAGCCTACAGGACTTCCACCGGCCGGGGCTCCTGCTGTCGGGTTCCCGCTCCAAGGACCGTGGCCATCCGGTCCTGAACTCCTTTCCAGAGCCTGCGGACTTCGGTTCCGGCAGGCGAGCTACAGCCGTCGGGCTCCGGGCCCGAGCTGTGCGCCCAGCTGCTTGACTAGGTCGACCCTAGTTCCCGGACGCGTCGCCACCAGCCTGCGTTCTCCCGTCTCCGTCGTGTCCACGCTCCTCAAGCCGAAACCATCACGATTTGGTAGGGCTTTTCGACGTGTCGCCAGCAGCCAGCGTTCCCTCGTCCTCGTCCAGCCCACGCATCGACGCAGGAGTCACGGCGTTCCGGTTTCCTCATCACCGCCGAAAACCAACTTGTGGGTGAGACTGCACCGATACTCTTGCGCTACTCCCATCACTCAGCCCCTTTCGGAACGTTAGGTTTAGTTACTGACTTGAACGTTCTTGTTGGGTGTTTACAGATGTGTTTCGTCATGTCCAGTCAACTGTTTATTAAGTGTTTTGTTTTGTGAGGAATCTTTGCCTTTTTACTTTTCAATTAAACTTTTTGTGTGTTTCTTGGAAACCGAACGGCTTTGTCCTTATTAACAAAACTCTCTGAGGCTCAGCCCGGAGAAAAACAAATCAGCACAAGAACCACGCATCACAAATTGGCGTCCGCAGCGACAGGACAAAGTCGTTTGTTTTTCCAGTAGATTTTTTGACGCGGTTAACACGATGACGAACACGTGGGAGTTAATTGAGTTGGCGGATAAAATGGGACTGACGGGAGCGGAGTTTAGAGTATGGTACGAGGAGCGGATGGAGAGGGAGCGTGAGCAACGGGCTGCGATATGTGACGCTAAAAAGCAGCAGATTGCATTGCAAACACACGCTAAGAGAGAGAGTTCGAGCGAGAAACACGGGCTAGGAGAGAGAAGCTCGAGCGAGAGACACGCGCTAAGAAGGAGCAGCTTGAGCTAGAAATGCGTGAAAAGAAAAGGCTGCTCGAGATAGAGATGCGCGAAAAGAAGAGACTGTTGGAACTAGAATATGAGGATTTGCAGCAGTGGCTTGAGAGGGAGAACGCTGAATATACGTGGTCTGAGAGCCAGAGTAGTCAACCAGTGGATGAGGTGTGCTCTGAAAGCAGGTTACATCGGGAGCGATTTGAATTTACGTGAGACTGACCCTGTACCTCGTCATGACCTTTCGCTAGAGAAAGAAACTCTGAAAGAGTATGACAGGGAGGTAAACAGTCAAAAGACTAGGAGACTCGATAAGCTTATTGAAGCGCAGGAATGCTTCGTGAGCATGGAACAAGAACGTTCCATTCAGAGTAAAGGGTATTTTGAAACCTGTGAGAGGTCAAGCGCACTTTATTCAGAGGTAGGATTGCCTCTGAATAGCTCCGCTGAAGGAGCAATAAAAGGTCTCCTAGGTAATGCCGGCGAATGCCATAATGAAAGCTCTGATGTAGCAGCTACCTATTGTTTTGGGCCACTGGAGATAGCAACAGACGCTACGGACATGGTTTTTCACCATGATTATAACTTGCCCATACAGAGAGATGGCTTGTGTTCTCGGGAAATTGTAGATGATGCTTTTAGAAGAATATTGGAGCAAAATGCAAAAGCACTTGTTGAAGAACAGAGAGTAGAGTTGCAATGTAGGTCAGCTATATGTGACATGAGGGTAATCACGATGACCCAGGCAGAAGGGTTGAAAGTATTGATGAACAAGCAATACAGAAAGCTGAAGGGATGGAAAGTGAACCAGAAGGCAGTAATGGTCCAGCAGGTTATTGTACGAGGAAGGACGCCGACTGGTGCTCTTTGGCATCTTCGGTTGAAGAGGTCGCTTCTGTTAGGATGTCTCAACGATTAGCGGCTTACGAGCTCAAGCAAGGCGTTCGTGGGAAGGATGAAAATGATTCAGGCGTGGTTGTACTGGTGGCGCCTGGAGGCAACGCCTCCGACTGGCATACAGACATTCCAGCGTGTATGCTTGTGATTTCGAGGTTGGGAACCTGGTGATACACAGCTTTAGGTTCATACGAGCTTACGGTCGAGAATTCTTCCACTGGCTTCCGATTCCTTACTCTTGTCAAATGGTTAGAGCAGTTAAACGTCTTGTACGGGACGCTATAACTTAAGCGTCAAATTCGATTTCCCGCTGGTTTCTTTTGGATCTTGCTTGCGGACCATGGAAGGGTGTTGCTTGTAAATATTTGAAGAAGTTACATGCATGTAACATTAACATGATGTATAGTTTTTGAGATGATAGGGTATATATGATAAAAAAAGGGGTGGTGTACTACTAATTTGGGGATTTTCACAATCCGCTAGATGTGTCCATACTTTTTCTCACTTCTTGCGTATTTTGAGGTTAGTGAATGTGGACCTTTGGGCAATGCAGTGAACTGTGTGGCGGACATATGTGGTTTAATTGTGACGTAGTGCAGAACGCGCACTCATCGGCAGTTTTTTTTTTTTAGAAAAAAAAAAAAAAAACTTGAATGAAAGGGGGGCGTATGTGATGTGTGGTGCGCGTTCAAAGTGCGCGCCTTCGAAAAGTGCGCGAAATTAAAGGATGACCGAGTGCACGTGCTGGGTCGCCTGAACAACGACGACGCCGAGGACCGGTACACGTGAGAGCGTGGAGCGCAAGCATCCAAGACCATAAACGAAAACAAGGGCCAATGGCTGATCACCACGGAGTTTTGAAAGGCCAATCAGAACGAGACAAGTGGGCCAGAGCTGAAGCAGGAGCCTGAGGAGACCAGAGCAAGGGGAATTCGAGGCAGGCAGTGCAAGCGGAAGGTCGTCACCGGACCGGGCGCTGAAGATGGGCCGTTGGGTTCCGGACCCGAGCCTACAGGACTTCCACCGGCCGGGGCCTCCTGCTGTCGGGTTCCCGCTCAAAAGGACCGTGGCCATCCGGTCCTGAACTCCTTTCCAGAGCCTGCGGACTTCGGTTCCGGCAGGCGAGCTACAGCCGTCGGGCTCCGGGCCCGAGCTGTGCGCCCAGCTGCTTGACTAGGTCGACCCTAGTTCCCGGACGCGTCGCCACCAGCCTGCGTTCTCCCGTCTCCGTCGTGTCCACGCTCCTCAAGCCGAAACCATCACGATTTGGTAGGGCTTTTCGACGTGTCGCCAGCAGCCAGCGTTCCCTGTCCTCGTCCAGCCACGCATTGACGCAGGAGTCACGGCGTTCCGGTTTCTCATCACCGCCGAAAACCAACTTGTGGGTGAGACTGCACCGATACTCTTGCGCTACTCCCATCACTCAGCCCCTTTCGAACGTTAGGTTAGTTACTGACTTTGAACGTTCTTGTTGGGTGTTTACAGATGTGTTTCGTCATGTCCAGTCAACTGTTTATTAAGTGTTTTGTTTTGTGAGGAATCTTTGCCTTTTACTTTCAATTAAACTTTTTGTGTGTTTCTTGGAAACCGAACGGCTTTGTCCTTATTAACAAAACTCTCTGAGGCTCAGCCCGGGAGAAAACAAATCAGCAACAGAACCGGCATCACAAGCGGCCAGGAGGGGAAAAGCGCAGAGAGTGAAATTGCCCGCTTCGTTGCCGGAAAGACCTGTGTGGCTGGAGTTCAAACTACTTATGCGGAGTGAGGGATAAAGCACTAGGAAGCGGCTTGAAGGAGATGAGCAGCCATTGAGATAATGAAACCTTCGTTGTATCGAGGACAGGCTGAATGCGAGTCTGTGGAGGTAATGTGAGCAGTGGGATGGGAGGCGGCCAAAACAATGGCAACCTCTTCTGCATGAGTTGCACTATCGGCTTTAAAGGAGAGGCCATCGACGTGGTGGTCCTCTGTGATCATAGCGGCCGCGTAAAAACTTAAAGTGGAATGGTGGGGGAGGGGGAAGCAGCTTCACAAGATCCTAAAGAACTTGCGTCAAAGAAAACATTGGTAGGATTCTCGTTCTTCTAGAGTTAGCAGCAGCGTTGATATAACTCTTTGTCCAAGTATGTGGTCAAAGCATACATTATTAACTGGCTGAGCTATACCTGTAATGTTAATACTAGGACAAGATATCTGTGCATGGGCGTTTTTCGTGTGAAGGAAAAAAAATCCCATGTTCATTGTGCTTCATGCCGCTGGGTCACATGGTGTTTATCACTGGATAGCGTTACAAAATTGATACGGGGCTTTCAACTCTCTGCAGGATCAGAGAGGTGATTTCAGGGTTCATGATAGTCTGATCCTTTAGACCTGGCCTTGCCTGAAAAAAGCCGCCATGGATGAAGACGACGACCGTCCTATTGCCACTGCAAGGGCGAGAGCCACAGGCGGGAGCCCATATGTTGAGATGCAAGCAGTCCTCCGATGTGCTCGCGTTCATCTCATCTGCAACAAAGGTGAATAAACATTGTCTAGTAGACCCAGGATGTGAAATGTTCGCAGAACTTAAGGATCACTTTTTCTACCACGGATCAAGCTTTACGTAAAGCTCAAGTATGAGGCCACATAGTAAGGTGGCAGCGCTAATTCAAAGTGACTAAAATGGGAATCAAATGCAAACCTGTGGCTATTTAAAACTTAATCATTCTTCCACGCGTCAGTAACACATGGGCTGCTTAAATATGATTGTTCTTGTGTGTAAATATCTTAGCCATAAAAGGGCAGATGCGTTTTCAAACTTGAATTATTTTTTAGCTAAACGAAAGCACCCGTACAGAATCTATCTATCTATCTATCTATCTATCTATCTATATTTATATATGTACGTATGGGTACCCATGTAGTTGCCCCCTTAACATGTAATACATTATAACTGGTATAGGAGGGTATCAGTGCATGATGAGCATGACTTACTGGTCATGGCATAAGTAATCTGACGTGCCTGTAGCTCATGTACTTATAATAATATTTGTTGGGGTTCAACGTCCCAAAATGTAGATATGATTATGGAAGGACACCGTAGTGGAAGCCTCCGGAAACTTCGACCACCTGGGCTTCTTTAACGCCACCTAAATTTAAGCACACGGGCTTCAAGCATTTTCGCCTCCATCGAAAATGTGGCCTCCGTGGCCGGGACTTGATCCCGCGACATGCGGGTCAGCAGCCGAGTACCATAGCCACTAGACCACCCTGGCGGGTGTGGCGTGCGTGCTTCATGAAACCCTTTTTTCGGGTGACGTGTTGCACACAACCTAGTAGCATGGTTTTTGGTGTGCATCTCAAGCATTTTAATACAAACAAGCCCCAACAACACCCACCCAAAACCATTAAAATATTAAGCTTCTTGTTTTCATCGCTTCTGCTTGAACTGTGGAATGCACAGATAGCGTTGCATGAGTGGCAACGCCAAAATCAAAGGCATCATAATTTTATTTTTACAGACAAACCACACCGATTTCGCACTAGAGAGACACGCAGCGGCTCTTTTCGTCATCGAAACTGACGCTTCACCACGTGAAGTGACGACATAGGCCGTGCGTTTTGATGGTTTGACGGGATAAGTCACGTGTAATACTCATATATGGTCTCGGATAGATCACACTAGTGTGTGCTAAAAACTTTTTAAATCACTGTTTATACGAGCTCAGATACACAAGGAGTTCTGTTATTAAACCTGAAAATGTGAAAACAATTGCGAAACAACTCTATAGGAGCGCTGCGCAACGGCCACAAGGCTAGTCGTCCGCCACATCTCTATAAGAGGTGCGTAATGATTGGTAACGGTAAGTGAAATGGCGAACGGGAGCATTTCTCCTTGTAATCTGCTGGGGTTTTGAAGTTTGCAGGTAAATAACTTCCATTACCATGTACTGATTTCGATCATTCCTTTAGCGTTTATTTCAGTATTCGACATTACACTAATTCCATCATTGCAGAATGTTGACAAAAAAGCGTCGCTGGGCGCCTTTAAAACAGCACTTTTCCAACTGGTACTAAAGAGGACCGTACCATTGGGAGCTGCGCATTTCCCTTTTGTTGCCGGAAGCTGGATGCACATTTCGCAGCACTGACGAATATCTGCCCATAATACAACTGGCTGGTACTTGCACACTCGATTAACACTGTGCTGTGCCATATCCGTTATATGTCTTCCAAAAGCGTCTTAAGCTCAATAAATATTTTAAATCTTTTTACACATTGCTGCTGGGCGGGTTCGATGGTTATATAAATGGGGACTTTTATCCAACTTGAGTTGGCATAAGCTAGCAGCAGTACTTTAAGAGCAGCTTGACTGCAGTTGAACTATAAAATTCAGTGTGTAATTGTACACTGGATGAGTTCACTGCCCGAATAATACTCGGTCCCTCACCGAGCCTTGGCGACGCCTGTGCGCAACTTGGCGCAGGTGACCTGGTGTCAAACTGCTCCTGCTCGAGGTACCAGGGCACGGGCGCTCCGAAGCGCAGCGTGCGTGGGTCGGCGTACGGCACGCCCAAGAAAGTGCCCACGGCTACGCCGTGCACCATGGATACGGTGCCGTAGTACTTGCCGAAGCGACCGACTGCGGTCACGTTGCTGTCCTCGGCCCGTCCCTTTCGATAAGCCACGACCAGCACCAGTGCCACGATGCTCGCACTGAGAATGAGCGCGACCGTGAATGCCAAGTCCCTGGTTTTCACGTTTCCCCTGGAGGTAAAACGCACGCGTTGCTTTCGTGAATGACATTTCACGAGTGCCTTCCGGATGTGAAGTTTCCATCATAGTGCGTCACGTACTGTACGCAAATGCAAACTTTCGCTTGTGTGATGAATTTCGCTTGTGTGAAATAAACGACGAGGCAACATGAACAAACATTCTGTGTCGTGTGATTCATGTCGATTAAGACACTATTAGCGCACCCTGAATGTTATATCTCCGATCGTAACCACCCTGCAAAGGGATCAAAAACGCCTTGCAAGAAAAAAAAATAGCAATGACTTAGCCAGCTATGCCAGCATATATATAAGCGTGAGCTACGGACAGACGGACAGATGGGCGTGCAGATGGACGTACGAATGGACAGATGTACGGATGGACTGCAGTAGCGAGTGAGCTTACGCGAGTCAAGCGCCGGCACATTAGTGACAGGTCACTCCAGAAGCATCCAGGCCTTCTGCGCAGTGCGCCAGCTGTGCGCCGTGTGACGTCCCTGCTTTTCGGGAGAGCACACCACCGACCTCAATAGGCCACGCGGGGATGCTAAAACTCCGCCAATGTAGCCTACGCTACCAAAACTTGATACATGTATCAGGCAAACACGCAACCATTAGGCACAGGTCGACCATCGACTACGCAGGACAAGCCTGTCTTGCGTTGGGGTTAGGTGTTAATGCCGGTGCTAAACAAACTACTGATGATTCTCAGTGTTGAATAGCTTTCATGCACCGAGCTCCTTCTAAATCTATACTTAATTTGACCTGGCTAGCACCTGATCCACACGTACTAAAATGATATATTTTTATGATAATATACCATAGGCCATGAACTAGCCGTGAAAATATAAGTAGCCACCAACGAGGGTACACGTCGGGACATAATTAGCGGGGAAAATATTTTTGGGCAACCCACGTTCACAGCAATAACTTGGCAGTGCCCATATATCAATTGCCCATTGAGACATTTGTAGCAATTTTGTGCCTAATTCTGGCCACCTTACACATTACACAGCTACAGTCTCAGGTATCATAGTCATGACGTTTCCAGGAATGTGGTTCGTTCACCTAGGCTTGCGTTTGTAAATTTTGTTGATATAGAAAGGCTTTCTAGCCTCGCTGAAGACATTCTATGTGCGTGGCTACCTCTCGCATCTTCAAAGCAGAAAACGATTAAAGAAGCACTTGCAATGCATAAAGTATAAAATTACGCATTGCATCGCCTGACGTACCATCCGAACCGTACAAAAATGGCGGGTGAAAGTTCGTAGAACACGTTATATTTCTAGGGGAAACACTTATGAGCCGAAGGGAATGACGTTTGTCTTACAGGTATGAGTGCGAGCTGTGTCCTCCCGAGCGCATGCTCCAAAAGCTGTGGATCACATCGGAGACTGCGGGCAAGTGCAGAACTGGAGCAGAGGTGTGTTCGGGAGCCCCGTGAGTAATCCCATTCTGCCCCGCCATCGGGTGCGAGCTGGACGCGAAGGGCAAGTGGGCCATTGACGTTTCCGTGGCCGTGTGGGGAGATGGTGTCACCGATGGAGGCGACATGGGGTGCTGCATTGCGTTGGTGAAAAATATCAGCCAATATAGTCAAACATCGGCAAAATATAAGCTTGCGAGCGGGCGACTGCTGTCTAGCTGAACGATAGGCGTGTCCGGTTTCAAACGTTTTGATTTCGCTAGGTGCACTCTCTGAAAGCGACTTCGCTGGCTCTCCATGAAAGATGAATAGCGCTCCTGCAAGGGCGACTGTGAAGGTAATAACGATAAAAAGTGCGGGGGGTTCACGCATTCAAGATATCTTTAAGATGCACTCCATAATTCCCACCTGGTGTTCTTTGGCGTCCACGTAAGTCTTATAGCACACGTGCTTCTTAGATGATCCCCCATCCTTGAATGCCGTAGCTGCGACAGGGAATCGTATACCTACTTCCTTGAGCTGAGCAACGCGACTTCTTTCCGAACTTGGTATCACGAAAGGAGATACTCAATGGTGGTCGGGCGATGTGGCTAATTGTTTTTTCTTTGCATTTCTGACAATACATCAAAATAGTGAGTTAGCGCCAGTTATCCGTTCTCGTGTCGTGCTTTTTTCTTTTAGTGAAAGATTCTTTTTTTTTCCACTCGTACTGGTTGTTCTCTCCGTCTTGGACGTCTACTGCTAAACGCTTAGTCAGGCTTGACCTACTCAGATGGTGGAAGGTGAAGTTCTAGGAAAACTGACCACCCATAATTCAGCCCCCAGAATCACAACGTTGTTTCATTGATGGGAGAGCTTGGTTCATTATTACATATCGCATTCCTCTGAAGCGTGCCCAAAATGTGTGCACAAAAATTATAGAAATGAGAAACTTCTCGAGTCTTACTACTAAAGTGCACACTGGCTAAACATGGTTATAAATCACACTCAAAGAAAACCTCGAGTAAAAAGAGCGTCTTTTTGTTCCCACGGCAATTATCGTCATCTATCCTGACTGCCTTGTCTTGCACTATCACGACGTTACCGGAAAATGTAGGCCAAGAACGACATAAACGTTTCAGCGACACTTAGCTTTTTTGATAAGAAAGTGACCAGTGCCAAGTTTTAAAAAAAGGAAGCGCCAGCAAGCTTGATGATTGATATTGTTGTGGGATAAAAATACGCCCATTCCACTCTATCTTTTTTTTTGAAATGCAGACCTCTGTCATATTAACTTACGTATGTCGGCGAAGTGCATGCTACACAGCAGCAAAGTTAGATATGCAGCCGCAGTTCTATGCAGAATTTTCTGCTCCAAAAGAATTTAATGTGATGCACCAAAAGGCCGGAACCAAAAAACATGGACTTCAAGGTCAATTTCAACACTGCCTTATGTAGCCAACGATGCGTTCATTTGGAGTTGTCTACAAAGCCCTCTTTGTATCCGGAGAATACAGCGAGTGTCGCATGCTGAAGCTAAAATCGTGGAACACACTACACAGTTACATTAGGCGATGTATAACATCACTGCGTACCGGAAATAGGCTTCTCCCCGAGTCGTACTTCAATCTGCTGTGGCTCAGCCATTCGAACATGGCTGTAAGGCACCGCTGTCTACAGAAACGTGCCGGGATGTCGTTGAGACGAGGACGAAACGCTTTGCTTTCAGATGACTTGTGAAGGCAATCGTGGACGGCCGTTTTTTCGCAGATGACTGATGACAGCCTCTTCACAGGGAGCCCGAAGCTTCTTCTTCTACTTCCTGCTGGGACACGCACGCGCCGTCCAGTGGTGCTCAAGAAAAGGGGGCTGAAAGTTTATTTACGATACGTCAAGAAATGGGACTTCATTTGCTCTAGACAGACTACTCTCATGCAGTCTAAGAAAGTCGAAAGCCAGCTAAGGCCCAGTCCTATACCTCGTCAACAAAGCAGGCTAGCAATTACATGCTGTACGAACTATTACACGGCAGTGTTGAAGCTCATGCCATAGCGCTGCGCCATGCATGCTTGAATTCGGCAATGATAATGGTGTATTTGAGAAACCGCCTAATAAGAATAGACGCCTTAACGTCCTGGGAAACAGGAGCCCAGGTAATTATTCTGCAGGACAATTAATACAGCGTTTTATTCATTAACGTTCTATTAACATCAATCGTTTCTTGGATATAGCGGCATTTTTTTAAAGTTGTGATTCCTTATTTTATTAGTACAGATAGAGGTACCGGTGTCACAAACGAGTGTTCGGGAAAGCGCGCACCACCGAACTCTGGCGACGGCGGTAATACCAGGCGCCAGAGAGTCGCTGTGAAGCCAGCGGTAAAGAGGAAAACAAACATCAAAGGACTTCTTGGGCGCGCCTTCTCACCCCCTCGGAGGCGCAGTTTCGCCGACCAAACTCCTCACAGCGGCCGGAGAAAGATCGCCCCAAAAATCTCGTAGGAAAAGGGCATGGCGATGCAGAGTTGCCTCCCCTTAGGAGAGAGAGGTCCCGCCCTTTCATCCAGCTCAGACGGTTCGACACACAGACGAGACGACTAGAAATGCCTCGCCGAGAGGCTCCCAGAATCATCGAGAAGGAAAGTGTGAATCACCCCCTTGTTGTGTCACGTGTTGCGGGTTGTTATCGCAAAGGCTCGCCCTTTCCCCGGCCTTGGCAGTGCAACGTGCCAAAGAATTTTCTATAACGTAGCAAGGAGGTATTTAAGCGAGCAGCGGAGAAAGGTGATCAGGAGTTGAAGGCAGTTGACGCCCGTGTGCGTAGTGAGGAGATGAAGGAAGTTTTGCGCCTGTGTGCGGGGGGGGGGGTCTTTCCGCCATGTCGGCGAAGGCTTTTATTCAATTATATAGACACTCTCGGCCGGATTTCGCAACCAGTGTCGGCGTCGATGTCATGCACCGTATATCTATACGTATCTATATATATGAAAACGCAAGAAAAAAAATCCAGAAAAAAAGACTCCTGCGCACGGAATCGAACCTCCCCGTCGTGAATGCGAAGCGTTAACCACTGAGCCACCTTATGGTACCTCCTTGGGCGTTTAAATGGCAAGCTATTCATATCTACCACTTACTGCTGTTGGCAGGCATCTCGGGGGAGGGGGGGGTGATTATCGTGTTTTTAGCATCATCAGCAAGATGGCGTAGTGATCGCGCGGCGGCTCTTATCTCTCACGCGTACTTTGGCCCGCGTAGAGAATACGCGGGCGTACGCTCGATCGCGTTCCCTTGCAGTGGGGAGGATCATACGTCTTTGCTAGACTTGAGATTTCGCCGAAACAATTTTGTTGTAGTTACCGGGCGCACAAAGTTCTCTGCAATCTTTGCACAGCATTCGTTTGCGAAAAGGGCGCACTTTTCAGACAGAGCAAAGTAACAACTGAAACGCTTAGTTGCGTTCATATGTACCTGGGAGTACGTTTCGTGCGTCATTTGTGCGTGAAAAACGTGGGGCATGCTTCGATCTGCATGCCATTCTGCGCGTGACCTCCCAATTTGTTGCTATCGCGTTTATTGCTTCGCCTTTGCGGGCAAGATTCTGTGACTTCTTTGTCGTCAGTGAGAAAACAGGGGGGCGATGAGAGGTTTTCACCTGAGGGGTGAAGGCTTATGTACAAGCAGACTAAAAGTATGTGTCTACCGGCCAGCAAGCGAAGACCCGTTTGCAGCCACAACGCTTGGGAGGCCGACGCGTTACCGCGAAGAAGCTTGGTACTTGGTGAGCGGACAGTTGCGACGCGAGGTTTCCTGGAAGAGAAACTTCCGGGGCAGTGGAGCGAGAACTACGCTGGACTTTGAGTGAGTGACTCTCGGAAGAGTACCATTCAAAATTTGTTACACGACCATTGGGTCGTGTCCACCTGAATAACTTAATGAACTCTTTCGGTCTTTAGTATTGTGTTTTTTGATGCATGTGATTACATTGTCTACACGCGTTTGGTCGCTTGTGTGTCATTGTGTTTCGAGTGTAGCTGAATGAACATGCAGTCCGTTGTTCGATTGGTGAATGTATTGGAGCTATTGCCCAGTGTCCAGCTATTGTGTATCATTTGATCTGCCTAATTTGAGAATATCATTTTGTTTTGCTTATCAACTCTCGCCTCTGACTCGTTCTGATGGGACCACAGCCGGCGGTGCCAGGCGCCAAATAGGAGCACCACGTTCTAAATTGTCCACCTTGCCTTTCGGGGTGCGGTTGGGGGGCTGATACTTCAGCCCTTGGAATTAGCCGGCGTTCACCTCCCTAATTAACGGCGAACAGTGACGCCATAGTTAAAGAACTGTCACGAGACCTCTATCAGTCATTTGTCAATGTCGATAAATTGCATATATGGCAATTAGCAGTTAAACTGCCAGAAAATAAGTGAGAAAATTGAGCAGACCTGATAATGAGCAGGTGAAAAGAACAGAAATGCACGCAATATTTATAAAATGCGCAGAAATGTGGGTGAGATCCTTTTTGAATAGGGTTGTGCGAATATTCAAAAATTTCGAATGACGAATAGAAAAGCATGTCGGTACTGTAATATTTCTGTACTCGGGTACCGAATATGCAATTTGGTAATCAAGTTTGTTAGAGCGTATTTTGAACAACGAATATTTTTTAACAGTTGTTGAATAATCAGCAACATAAAAAAACGCCAGGCCTGCGTGAAAGGCGCAGCACAGTCGCAGCGAAAACTATATGAGTGGCCTTTCAGAGCCTTTTAAAACACTCATGGGGTAACTATTGCAAGTACACTTGCTTGATGCCCACTACGACATTAATAATGAAAATCTTAGGGTAGTAGGCCGGCATCCGCTGTGCTATTTTTCGTCAATGTTATGAAAAGCGTTGTATCCACTAAACACTTGCAAGGAATTTTGCACCAATTGTTTGTTCTTGCAGTGGCTGATAACGATGAGCAATTATGCCTGAAGTGGGTATGCGATACTATTATTAGGAGAACAAGAAGCTTTTGTAATAGGTTGGAGCAATGGACGACCTACTCGTTACGCTATTCGCATTGTGCGATGACTAGTTGTTCTTTCGCTGTTTTAAACCTATTTATATATTTTGTATTAACGCGATTGCTTTCCCGACATCAAGCCTGCCATAAACA